CCTCTGCTGCCAGCCTCCATCCCTGATCAGTGTGAAAGGTCATGACCTCTGCTGCCAGCCTCCATCCCTGATCAGTGTGAGCTTCATGGCTCCATCAGCCTCCAGGAAACCACAGCCCTCCCTCCGTGCTGCATTCATGATCTCAGGAGATCTCAGCAGCTGCAGCTCAGACTGAACACTGAAGACTTTCAGCAAGACGACGTCCCAACAAACCAGGAGACCCAGTGGGAGAGATGAGAGCTTTAGACATGATGTCTGCAGAGCTTCCTTCAGACCCACTTTGGACCTTCACAGCACATTTCTGATGGTTCTGATCCATCAGAACCTCACAGCAGCTTCAGCAGGACGGTTCTGATCTGCTGAGCAGCAGCTCACATTGTGACTGTCTCCTTCTCATTCAGACTCATCCAGTCTGGATGGTACTGGTACCGCGTTGGTTCTGGACCAAACTGGACGTTACAGGTAAGAACCAACACTGACTGGTTTTCATTAGTAAAGGTATTGGTGTGAAAATATCAATGATTTAGGAAAAGAGACCAAAACTTTGTTTTCATTTCTGCATCTCTATGATTTGGTTAAGAATCTAAATACTGGAAAACAAAGTTTAGTTTTCCAGTATTTAGTTTTGATGACCAACAACTAAAACTCAGAGTTACATGAAGCAAGCAGATAAAAACTGAAGATAATAAAACCAGAAATCAGCCGACAGGTTTTTGTATCAGTCTGTCTCACTGTGGGATGAATGGATCTTTGGTTCTGGAACCAAACTGTTTGTAACAGGTAAGAATCAACATTTACTGGTTTTACTGTTTAATGTCACTTTTTGCTGCTTCAGGATTTACATGTTACTTTCTATCTTTAGTAAAGAATTCATCACAGATAATAAAGGAAACATTTACAAGATTTACTGTCAGTTTTGTTTATTGGTGAATAATATCTGAAAACTCTCAGTGACTCCAACCCTGTAATATCTACTAATGTTGCTTATAAATGTCTAATTACTGTAAAATATTCACCATACGTTTAATAACTGAGTGTTAATTAGACTGACAGAGTAAAAGTGACTGCAGAGAGAACAGAAAGCAGCTGATGGGTTTTTGCATCAGTCTGTGTCACTGTGGAATGAATATCTGTTTGGATCTGGAACCAAACTGTTTGTAGCAAGTAAGAACCAACATTTATTCATTTCACTGTTAAAACGGGTTTAAAGCCACTTTCTGCTGTTTTAGTTTTAGAGATGATTATTATTTTAGTGCTTGATCAATCACGTTTAATCTGATGAAAATGCATTAAATGAAAAGTGTAATGAAGACAGAAAATGGATTAAAATTTCAGAAGTGTGTACAGATAAAAACCCAGAACTGATCTGATGTTCAGATGTTCAACTTTTAGTTTCTGAGCTTCGTTTTAAGTTCAGAGTCGAGCAGCAGGAACATTTTCCTGACATCAAAAACTGATTTTACCGTCGCAGCTTTGAACAGTTCAGAGTGGATCAGAGTGGTTTTACACAAAAACCTACAGAAAAACTGAATATAATGAGAGCAGAAATCAGCCGACAGGTTTTGTTTCTCTGTCGGATGGATCTTTGGTTCTGGATCCAAACTCAGGTAAGAACAAATATTTATGGTTTTATTAGAGAACTTAAAATGTGTTCAAAGTTACATTTTTCATTAGTAAAAAATTCATCATGAAAATAATTTTTGAAAGCATGTTCGGATTTCTTTGAACAATTTTATAAAATATTTAAATTTTATAGAAATATTGGAGAATAATATCTGTAAATTCTGTGATATGTTCAGAAGTTACACCAATTTTAATTTATTTAATCTAAAATCTTTCTGTGAAACCAATTTCAGTTTTTCAGCTTCTGAATGTCACTAAAAATATTATTTATTTTTAAAAACTGGTCAGATCTGTTTGCTAAAATAAAATTTTGAAATAATAAATTATGACCAGCAAATGTAAAAAGACTTTGTTAGATAAACGTAAATTAAACGCATACTTTGTCAAAATGGATGGAAAAATAATCTAGAAAAAAAGCATTAATTTGTTAAATAAGAAAAAATAATTTTTTATAGCCGTATATTGATCAGATATTGATCGGCATTCAGATCGGCTCCAGCTGTAACGATGGATTAAACGGATTAAGATGTTTCTGTGGAGCCGAGTCCAGGTT